TTCTATGCCAGCTGATCTACTGCTACGTTCTTCTCAACCTGCTCCAGAGCTGATTATGAGGAAGAAACGCAAGAAGAGCAAGGTCTCTGAAGAAGATCCCTCAGCGAAACATTCTAAGCGTTCTAAGAGGGAGGCTTCTGAAGAAGGCTCTTCCAAGAAGTCCTCAAAGCATTCCAAGCAATCAGGTAATCCCTCTGCTGTTTTATCTCCTGTTTTGGAAACTATAACAGAAGAACCAATATCTCAACCCCCTCTCTCTTCTGAACCTATTATCACATCTGACTCCTTTGACTCCTCCTCTGACCAATCAGATGCTACATCTCCTCCACATAACTCCCCAAACCACCCTCTTGAGTTTTATTCTCCCACTCTCATTCCCTCTTATTCTCCAGATAAACCTTCACCCTCTTTTAAACCTTCACTCTTTGATTCCCTTAGGACATCCTTCTTCAAGGCCTACCTTAAGCCCAAACCCAGACCCAATGTTGGTAATCTGTTATCTAGTTTTGAAACAGAGATGCAGATATGGTTTTCTGCTGTAAGGGAGAAGTGCCTCACTAGCACGAATCCTCGTGACTCTGAAGAGATCTGGACTGCCCTCAGAAAGAGATTCACTTCTATGACTATGAATCTTCAGGATGCTTGCTTTGCAGATGCGCAAGAGAGAGTTTCTGAAGCTATGAGACTTGCTCAACTCAGTGTCAGCAGAACTCATATTCTTTGTCTGGAAAACACACCTGCAGAGGTTGTGTGTTCCTCATCTGAGAAATCTGTTGCACTTCAGATTGGTGAAGGTCCTCATGTTGAAGAAGGTACCTCAGAGGCTCCTGTTGAATAAGAGATTCCTGACTCTGGTCAACCCTCTGCTCTGGAATTAGGGAATGCATCTTCTTCATTGATTGTTCAGAATTCAACAGATTTGAGGAAAGAAAATGAAGATGTGCAAAACAAATTTGCTCAGCAAGAGGCTACTAACAGCGAGATAAAATCTTGGATGATCAAGCAAGAGAAAACTACCGCAGAGATTCAGGAGTGGATGGTCAAACAGGAAGAATCCACTACTGAAATCAAGACATGGATGGCCAAACAAGAAGCTTCAACTTCTGAGATGACGGATCTTCTTAAGCTTTTAACTTCTCGTTTATCTTAATTGTTTGTTAGTTTGTGCTCATCTATGAATTTGCCTGTTTTATTTCTTTTCTGAGTCTCTAAATACACCTGTGATTTTTTTTACATCTGATTCTATCTTATATATTTCTATTTTTCTTGCTCTGAAATTTTTTTTGTCTTAACTGATTTTCTAAAATCACTTTTTGATATGACAAAAAGGGGGAGAAAATGGAAATTTTGAATCGTTCACATAAACAGACACTGAATGGAAACTCACACATGTTTAAAACTAACTAATCATGAATTCAGTGTTTCAGAGTTAAAGTTACTCATATGAAAATATTTATAGAATTAACTCTGAACAAGGTCTGAGATAGTCCACAAGCTTGCTCTGACTCTGGAAAGAATACAAGTGCTGAAAGGGAAGTTTTAAATTTTCTAGCAGTATTCATTTCAGGGGGAGAATCATATTCTCAGGGGGAGATATATATTTTAATTTTGAATAAAATTTCGTATAGTTTTTGTCATCATCAAAAAGGGGGAGATTGTTAGAACACATATTGGTTCTTAATATATCTCAATATTTTGATGATAACAATAATAAAATTTTGTATGGAGAAAATATATACTCTAATTTTGTTCAAGTGTTTTTGCTTCAGATAACATAATAAATATTCCTCTGAACGGAATATTCCTCTGAACGTCAAGCTACAACATGCAGAAAACTCTGAGCGTTTGGTAAAAAGCAAAGGTACAGAAGGCTCTAAGCGTAGAGTATAAAGAGAAGATTCAGAAAACCCTGAGCGCACTAAACTCAACCCTGCAACTGCAGAGGATCTGAGAATCAAAACATGTAAGACTCTGAAACGTTAGTAACAAAATGATACATTTGGATAACACGGATAACACGTAAGACCGAAGATCTGCTCTGGTCTAAAGCGCTCCTCTGGATGAACAATTTGTTAAAACAATCACGTAAGCACTAAGCTACTGAACTCTGGAAGAGAGTTACTCTGATAAGAAGAAAATGGAACATCATCAGAGGATCTGATGCAGGAAATATTTTCATATTCGTTCATTTAAAAAGATGATGATCAAGAAAGATTCGTTGCCAAATTCATTGTATACATCCAACGACACTATTCCTCTTTTGTGTATGGGACAGGATTTTAGAACAAAAAGGATATCTCTGAACATTCCTCTCCTGGAAAGAAACAGTCAAAGAAGACAAAAAGGCATCTGCACGCTATTTGAGGAATAGGTGTGCAGTAATTTAAACAAGTCTTCAACAACAATTCAAGTATACATATATAGAACATCATTCTACAACGAACATACTACTTTGCTGAAAAGAAAATTCTACTTTGCTATCACTTCCAAGTTAACTTCATATTAGCAAATAGAAAGTTTCATTGATCTTCATTTGTGTTAAATCACTGTTGTGAAAAAGCTTTTCTAAGAAGCACTTAAACACATTTTATTGTATTACTTTGTAAAAGATCCTTGAGAGACCAAGTTGTGGTCAGTATTCTCGAGAAGACTAAGACAAGTTTGTCTTAGTGAAAAGATTGTAATCAGTTTTTGATTATTGGATTAAGTCCTCTTTTGAAAGAGGCGAAATCACCTTGGCCGGGTGGACTGGAGTAGTTTGAGTTCAAACGAACCAATATAAAAATACATGTTATTTTTATTGCCTTATTTGTTTTTGAAAACCCTTATTACGTAACAGTAACCTCACCGAATTTTAAACCTGAGTGACCAAGAAAAGGAAGAATGATGTTGAGGGAGGAAATTGTGAAGGTTGTTTCCTTGACAACAATTTTGTTGAACAAGTTACTTAAAATACAAAAGGAGGAAGGGGAAGATCATAAATTGTGAAGTGTAGAATTCATAATTAATTTTAAAATTTTTCATTTTGTTTTGAAAATATTTATGATAGTCTAGAGATAAATCAACACAGAATAGAAAGAAGGAGTAAGAGAGAAAAAACATAAACAAAGAGATATAGACAGAAGAATTGTATCAGAATTTATAGAGGTTCGACCTAGCACTTGACCTACTTCTCTCTCAAATAATTTCTTCTTTAGAGTTTCATTAAAATAATTCTTTGAGCTTTTATGAATATGTGCACAGTCCTTATTACAAAGATGAGATATTTTAAATAAGCTAATTCCCCCAAACCAAATTGAGATTTTGACGACTGAACTAATGAGGCAAACATAGATTTTATTGACTACTCTCCATAACCAAACTTAGATTTTCTCAGAAAAATTTCAATGACCAAACATAAATTTTACTAGGACAATCTGAAGAACGAAAGATATCAAACAAGAGAATCACACTTTTGATGAAAAACACATAAGCACAATCACAACTACAAACAAAAAAATCTCTAAAGTATTTTTCACTTCCAAACCACTAAGACAACTTTAATAAAATAATATAGAAAGAGAAAAGAGAGAAAAGAAGAAAATAATACTTGATGTTTGAATTCTGTTGTGATTTCGAATGAGAAGAAATCTCATTTATATAGAAAAACTTATAGCTAAATATGGAATGTTTAATCGAGTATATAGTCTAAATATGAAAGATTTTCAAATTTGTCGTCAATGATATATTAGAAGCCCTCTTAATCATTAAGAGACGTTACAAAAGAGGTATTCAATTAACCCTAATGTGTTAATCAGTTATCTAGTGTAAATCACACTCTTAAAAGATTATTCAAGCTAGTAACTGTAATACATTTTCCGGTGATTTTAGAAAAGGAGAGAGATTTGAAAATCATTTTATTGTGTGTGTGAGTTTTCAGTATCTTATGAAATACTCTTATACTAATACAATATAATGATCCCTCAGACACAAGATCATGCAAACTTTTCACATATCCTCTATTTCATAATCTTGAAGATTTAAGACCCCTTACTAGATTTACCATTAATTCAACAATTCATATGAGACTTGACTTCTTCTATTTAATGAAACTTGATATGACTTCTTTGATATACACCATCACTAGAGGTTTTCTGATAAAAAATCTTCAATGACTCCACCAAGCGCCATTTGAGATTAGGTGTTGTCAGCATTAAAACAATCAAGGATCATCTACTATTAAGATTATCTGTAGATGATGTACTTGCAATCACATAATTTAAAATTCTCTCTATTTTTAATGATGACAACACATCTCTCAGGGAGGTAGACAAAAAAAAAACAATGGTAATAGATCAGAGTGGTTAAATTTTTCGGACAAATATAAAGAGTATACTCTTCTAGGAAATACTTCTTCTTTAACATTATTAAAAAGGCAGAAAATAAACATAAGTCAAACATATAGATCACGTATACCAAATAGAGAAAGTGGAGAAAAAGAAATAGAAGAAGCATTTGGTGGGGCAATAGAACAAAAAAATTGACATGAGCCATGAGCCATACTATACTACACATTTGTGTCCATAGATCACCTTTGGATTCGAATGGTTTCAAGCTTCTAAAGATGTTTATGTGTATGATAAGGAAAGATATCACATTCACTAGCTGGATTTTTGTAGGTAGTTTTAAGTTGTAGTGATCTCAGTCGTTGAATTCATATAAGATGTTTAAAATTTTCCAGCTGTTTGGATTGAAACATCTCCAAATATGTACAAAATATAATTATCTATAATAGTGAAATAAAATTGAAGATTATTTCGAGACCAATAAAAATAGAGAAAAAAAATTGAACAAGGGAAGATTTTATCAATCTCAAAATCTTGACCACAGAAAAGTTTGCTTTAGCAGTGTCTTACACTTAACAGACTATACATGTAACAACGCCAGTAACCATAAATCCATAATCACGTGCTTCATTTTCTCTGCCGAATTCGAGTAACAGGCAGAAGAAGCTAAAGAAGATGTTGGAAGGAAAAGGCGTGGTGCGAGAGACAGACATGGAAGAAGTGATGCAAAGCCATGTCATGGAGTTAGCTCACCAAGCTCTAGATGCACATGAAGTTTCCGATTGTCAGAACATTGCCTATTTCATCAAACAGGTCTATTATCTCAAACTATCATATAAATTACTCCTACTGCTTATTTTATATGTATAATCATGTATTTTGAGGAAATTCAAATCCATGTATTTTGCAGTATTATTATATGTATTGAGCCTTTCGTTTCGAAAACTATCTCATGTTGGACAGAAACTTGATGAAACATATGGACCTGCATGGAATTGTGTTGCTGGAAATGATTTTGGATCTTGTATTACACATTTATGTGGAAGTTTCATATTCTTTCGAGTAGAGATGATGGAATTTCTGATCTTTAAAGATGGAAAAGACTTCACAGAAAGCAGGGAAGAAGTTATCAGAGTTATACAGAAACCGGGAACTTGAGTTGCATAAATCTAGTTATTCCTAATTTATTTGTCATAAACATGTTTAATATTTCAAAAAAAAGTTATTGAAATATAGAAAAACAACTTTGTTACCCTCTCTCAGTGTCAGTGTTATCCGAGTCTTGAGCCTTGTCGACCAAATACAACTTTTACTTGTCACATGATAGTAACATTATTATAAAACTCTTTAAAAGACATTTAAATTCTCTGTACATTGGGGATAACATAAGGAAAGGATAATTTAGCATCCCAAGGATTAGATACAATAAATTTATTGTTTTAAACCTCAGGATGCCGATTACCAAATCCTTAACCAATACTAACTCTTTCAAGAACGGCGACAAAAGAAACGGGGTATTGGGAGAATGTTTGTAGAAGGTTGGATTGAGTTGAGTGTAACCATGTATTTGGGCTCTATTTATAGTTGAGAAATATATTCTAGTGACATTTGGGGCCAATGAAGGAATTATTAATGTATGCAATATCTGTTGAAAGATTGAACTTGATTTGGGTCTAAAATATTGATTTTGGGCTTATTTATTTGGACATAGGTAATTTTAATTAATGTTTCTAGAAAACTCTTGTAATGTTTGGAGTGTCTACATATTTCTTAGGGTTGTAATATTCTCTAGAATGCTCTTGGAATTCCTAGAGTTGAGAACTCTCTAGAATTAGTGTGTCTAGAGTTCTCCTTAGAGTACTATAAATAGAGATGTAATTTTACACTTTTCCATCAAACAAAATACAAAGTTCTCTCTTCCATAAATAATTCTTCTATCTATCAAGTTTCTCTTTAAATCTCTAATATTTCCACACACTTTTTCTAAACACAAAAGGTCTTATTTCCAACAATATCTTATGTTGTAGCAAAATTAATTAACTTTTCTGACTGCTTTTTGAATGCCGAAAGATTCTTTTGATTTTCAAATATGCAGTCATTTGAATAGTCTCGTTTGGGTGAGTTTGATTCAAATGATTGAAGTGTAATGTGGCTACAATTGCTATCACATAGTCCTCAGTTAGTGTTGCACAATCTAGACCACAATCACTTGATATTTTTTTCCCACTTGATTAAACAATACATATAGATCATGTATATAAAAAGTTGTTTAAAAACTATAGAATAATTGGCTTGAAAGTGAATCACTGATTTTATTCTGTTTTAACTTCGTAAACGAATCATAAGGCCATCTTTTTGTCTTTTTGTGATTGCACTTTATGCTTGGAATAAATGCCACTAATATAAATCCACAAATGTTGCATCTGCTTTCACGTAACCAATATTTTGAAAGTGCTCACGCAACAACATTATTTGAAACTCTATCGAATATGGCCGGTCAGTAAATGTTTTTCTATAAAAAATTTGAGTCTAACTTTTTGTTGGTGCACGTTTCTTCTTGTACTAATTTCCCTAAACCTAATATGAGATATGGCTATGAATGCAGATAATAATCATAAGGAGCCTTAATATCTATCTATTCTATTATTACCGCATTTATGATGCACGTCGGACATGCTGACGTCATATGATAAATAATCATAAATACTTATCATATGCTATTCTTTTAAGGGCGTCCATTATCATCCTAACTCGATTCCTCATAATGGTCGAGCAAGCTTACCGCAAGAATTTCTCAAGAACTACACAACTCCTCAAATATGAGTCTAAAGTAGGACGAGTTGCTTAAAGGATAGACCATCCGGATAATCTAGCCATTGCAATTCTCTAAAATGTATACAATCCAAAAGTATGAGGCCCAAATGGTGTGAGATGCTTTAGGGAGGTGTCATTCGGGTAATCCGACTATTGCAATTTCTCGAGATGTACACACCCCTATACATGAGGCTTAAATGGGGTGAGCTGCTTACACTACGCCAGAAATGACTTTTAGCAGCGCAACAAAAGACAAGGCTTTCTAAAAAAGCCCTGCTAAAGGTTCATGAAAAAAAAACACAAAAAAATAGCATACCTAAGACAGCGCTTGTTAAAAAAACGTTGCTAAAGGGGGGGGGGGGGGGTCAAAGAAAGCGCTTTAAAAAAGCGTTGCTAAAGGGGGGGGGTCTACGAAAGCGCTTCTAAAAAAGCGCTGCTAAAGGGGGTCCTAAGGCAGACCTATAGCAGCGCTTTTAAAAGCGCTGCTAACTGCGAAAAAAAGCGCTGCTAAAGGGGGTCCTAAGGCAGACCTATAGCAGCGCTTTTAAAAGCGCTGCTAAAGGGGGTCCTAAGGCAGACCTATAACAGCGCTTTTAAAAGCACTGCTAAAGGGGGTCCTAAGGCAGACCTATATCAGCGCTTTTAAAAGTGCTGCTAAATGCCAAAAAAAAGCGCTGCTAAAGGGGGTCCTAAGGCAGACCTATAGCAGCGATTTTAAAAGCGCTGCTAAATGTCAAAAAAAGCGCTGCTAAAGGGGGTCCTAAGGCAGACCTATAGCAACGCTTTTAAAAGCGCTGCTAAATGCCAAACAAAGCGCTGCTAAAGGGGGTCCTAAGGCAGACCTATAGCAGCGCTTTTAAAAGCGCTGCTAAATGCCAAAAAAAGCGCTGCTATAGGTTTAAGTAGCATAAATTTAAAAAATCCCAATATTTTCGCAGAATCAGAACAATCTTCTTCTTTCTTATTTCCACTCGCGAACGTTTCCCTATTCAGAATTAGAACAGTCACCGTCGACACATTCTGTCTGCGCCTCCGTCCGACAGCCTCCGTCCGTCGTCTTTCCTCCGGTCATTCGTCGTCACCTCATTCTGCCGCCGTCCGTCCATTTTTGACGGTCATATCCGTCCTCCACCAGCGCATTTCCACTATTTTAAGGTATTTGAAGTTTTTCATTTTCCATTTTTATTGTTCTCATAGTTGAATGCATTATTGGAGTTTGAATCTTTTAGTTGCTTTAGGTTGTTCTCATATAATATTTGAACTGATATTGTATTCTGTTTTTAACATTCTCCATAACCATTCCATAACTATCTCACATTCTCTTAATACATAACATATGCAGTGTAGAATTGGAAATATAATAGTTATGATGTGTTGCTATCTGTGGTATAAATTGATTAAGGTCTCATGCTTGTTCGACTCGCTATTGCCGCTAATGTTTGCATCGATTAATTTCATTGTGCGAAAAATATTGGTTAAAAAGTGTTGGTGTTAGTCTCCTTATTTCTTCTGCTAGCTACAAAAGTTGAAAAACAACGAAGGAAAACTGTTATGTGGTTCATTGTTTCAGTGAATATTTCAGTTTTGATTTGGTTGACATAAGGAGTAGGATTCAAAAGAAAGAGCCTAGCTAAACCCACCTATTTATGTCTCTTTCACATTCCTTTTGACACAATTTCATACACTTTTTGGATAGTGAAGTTTTGTAATGAAAAATAATGGAATATGAAAAAGATTCAGCATATTCCACCCATGCATTTGGAAATATATCAACATTACAAAATTAATAAAAAAAAGAAGCTAGAAGAGATGCTTATTTTTATACTTTTGATCAAGAAAAATGTTTAATTTATTAAGAACAATTGGCACTATCTGGCTTTAAAACAAAACAATACAGATTATATTATACTTAGTTTATGCATTGTCACTTATTTTTTTATAGTTTTTTCTGATTATTTTATCAATCATATTTTGCAGATGAATATGGAAACTTTCCACCACTGCAGCTAAAGTATGCTGAAATTTCCATAACCTTACATCCTACATGCTAAATTTGATTTGAATATTTCAACATTTTCTCTTCAATATATATATATTTTTTAATTTCTAACTTGAATATTTATGCTTTGTTTTTTTCTTCATTTTTGCAGATCAGGTGATGTATAATACACATTGCAGTTTCATAAATATGTTAATCAACATATATATATATATATATATATATATATATATATATATATATATATATATATATATATATATATATATATATATATATATATATATATATATATATATATATATATATATATATATATATATATATATATATATATATATATATATATATATATATATATATATATATATATATATATATATATATATATATATATATATATATATATATATATATATATATATATATATATATATATATATATATAAAGTTAAAAGAGTGACATGAAAAATCATGGCAGGGTAAATAAATATTGCTATGTGATGCTGACATTGTTGTATATAGGAATGTCCAAAGGAGACAATGTTGGCATAGTTATTGAAGGAGCTTTTGGGATTTTACTTTTGGCACTCATTCTCTATTTTGTGCTATATAGAAGAAAAAAAGTTGCTCATGTAACTCTTCTAACAGTCCCGGGTGCGTCCGAAGATCAATATAGTCAACTCCAACATGGTATATCATATTTTGTTCTAAACTGTATAGTGAGATTTTATAGTTCTAAATTGAAGATTAAGTTTTCATGCAAAATGTGAAACTGTATATGAGTATTATCTGTTCCATGGATTTAGGTTGTGGAAGCAGCTTGGATAAGGCCTCCGAATCGACTATTATTGCTTCTCCGAGGTTGACAGGTATTACGGTTGATAAGTCAGTCGAGTTTTCGTATGAGGAGTTAGCCAAAGCTACTGACAGATTTAGCGCGACAAGTATAATCGGTCGAGGTGGCTTTGGATCTGTTTACTACGCCGAGCTTCGAAATGAGGTTTATGTGTTTAGAATCTCTTTTGTATTGCGCTTTATGAAGAAAACTATTCTTTCTGGTCAAATAGAGATTCCAATCATGGTATGGATCAATTCATAAGTTATATGATTCATTTTGATAATTAACTGATATTTTATCTGAGTAATTAGATTTAAAATTAAATCGTGCATGTTCTGTTATATTATGTAGTATTTTGATGATTTCAAGTGCGGTACTTACTCGAAAGCAAGATTGGAAGAAATTAAGGAGGAATGGTGTCAATTTATTCTTGAGTTGAGAATTCTATAATGTATCTATTTGTAAAGTTATCGGATTTGTAATTATATGTAAATTGATTGTATA